CGCCAAAATGGGTTGAAAAATTAAATTGAAAGGTTGAGGGGGGTGTAAATTGAAAGTTTTGGGGGGGGGGGGGTGCAAATCGAAATCTTGAGGGGGGGGGGGGGGTGCTAATCGAAAAGTTTGTCCCCGGGCGCCGGGAAGGGTCGCTACGCCTCTGATGGAGGTTCAAACAGGTATACACTAGGTCACTTGGTCGAACACAATGTATACTCAGTTCTTGAAAAAAAGTATAACATATTTTTTTGACTGAGAAAAGTTTTCTGTTGTTATAGAGAATTATGATAAGGGCTCAGATCAAGAGTATACTTTAGGCTAAGAGGAACATTTTTTTTTCTCGAAAGCACTTCGAATCTGTATGGCCTAGTGGAAGAGCGCTGAACTACTAACCCTAAAGTCTCGAGCTCGAATCCGAGTTTAAATCAGTTGAACTTCCTTGAGTCCACCCATTTCTGATGGGTAGCTAACTCACGTTAGGAAAAGTAAAGGCGCTGGGCATAACGCTGACCACGCTACCTCTCATTAGGCGAGGCCACAGAAACAGGTGTAATCAATTACATTTGCCTATGGACCTCGTTCAAAAGGGAACTTAACTTACCACTACTCACTACTTATGTACTCTCTATTGTGAAGAATTGTATTCACTTGGCCGACAGAAAAAGAAAGCATAACAATGGACTAGACTCTAGACAAACGTCTACCTTTGACCAGCAAAAATATCATCTAGTCCACGAATACAAATAAAACATATGTATAAAAACTAATTAAATTCTTTTAGTTAGACATTAATTAAGGTTAATTAGACTAAACATATATTGTATTTAAAAAATAAACATCAATCTTGCAAGTTGAATAATTCGTCCATTCTGTACTACCGTCCGTGTTTTGTGTTGTATGTGTTGTGATACGTAGGTGCCAGAGGCGTAGCGACCCCTCCCGGCGCCCAAGGACAAACTTTCAATATGGCGCCCCCCTCCCCCCCCATATATATTTATATTGATAATTCAAAATAGCAGCTAAAATAAGCTTATTTTGGCGTCCCTAGGGTCGGTGCCCGGGGATATATGTACCCCCCGTCGCTACGCCTCTGGTAGGTGCTGACGACGCCCATACAAGCAGCAACAGCGGAGGTCGACTGTGTATCTGATGGTATAATCTCACCATCTCTCAGCCCGTAAGGAATGCAACTTGTGTTCTCCGTGTAACAAGCACCTAGCTAGCTGGCGTCGTACGTAACGCCCATCTTGTCATTACAGATAGCAGCGGCTTCATTCCGTGTGAACTTTAACACTGTGTACAGGGCGTAGACAAGTTTTAAGGGCAGGTTAGGGGGAAGGGAAGGGGACTGTGAGTGCGCTAAATTTTGCTCACAAAAACTTTTCTCAACAGGATAACAAAAGAAACAAACTATTTCGATAGTAATGAATAGACTTAGCAGTTGTAGCGTAGGGTGAATATCATGAAAAAACTTACATACAAGTTATGAAGTAAGGTAAATGCTATTCATGAAGTAGGGTAAATGCCATCTATGAAGTAATGTAAATACAATCTATGAAGAAGGGTAAATGCCATCTATGAAGAAGGGTAAATGCCATCTATGAAGTAGGTTAAATGCCATCTATGATGTATGTTAAATGTCATATATGAAGTAAGGTAAATGCCAGTTATGGAATTTATGAAGTAAGGTAAATGCCATTTATAAAGTAAGGCAAATACCAGTTATGAAGTAAGATAAATGCCATTTATGAAGTAAGACGACTGCCTGTGCTGAAGTAACTATTTCTGCATGTGAAAGAAGCTGCCTACAAAACCGTCTACAGATTTAAATAACCAGTGAAGAAAGCCAATAACGTTAGAAGGAAACTCACGACAATATCTCCTCAATGGCTCACAATTGAATAAGACATTACACTAATGGGTCTAGCTGTTCAGGAGATAAAGGAATCTCTCTATACATTAAACAGATGGCATTAGATTTACATCGATCCCAGTGTTTCTTTCAGGCATCTCTTCACCCCCCACCCGAACAAAATACTTTATAGAGAAAATATACACTTTTACCAGTGTCAGCCCCACCCCCCCCCACGGAAAATTTAGCCCCCCCCCCCCCCCAATTTCAGCCCCTGCTCCCAACCTCCAGAAAAAAGAAGAAAGTCTGAAAGCAAAACGGATTAATTCCAATATAGCTACACAATAAGATGTTTTGTTAGATACTTATTAAATTTATTAAAGTTTTATAAAGAGCTGAATTGGTAAATTCATCATTGTATAATGAAATCTTCTGCTTAAATTGCTTTTTTTTCCCTTAACAAAATCGTAAAATTATTTCTTTTTGTAAGTCAAAATGGTGAAGGGGGTGGGGGGGGGGGGGGGGCTTGAAATTTTCGGAGAGGGGGCACCTAAAATTGCCAAGAGATGTGAGGAAAGAAGGAGGGGGGCGGACACTGGTTACAGTTTTAATTTTATATATGAATTATATATTTTTTCTAGTTCGGAAATGGAAGGAGAGGGGAGAGGGCAGTGCCTCCCTGAGAAAATGCCTGAAAGAAACTGCTGAATACACTGTCTTTTCCATCAGTGTGATCCGGTCAAAATGTCCCATTGTGTTACATATAGTGCTACCACAGGCGCAGGCCATTCCATCTAGGCTCTCACTAGCAATTGGACAAGAAAACTACCAGACAAGTCACGTGATAAGGTTGAACCCGTCGTCATCCAGATAACATCGATGACGTCAGAATCCCGCACCCCAACCCCCTTCTCTAACCAGACTTTCCTGTTTGAAAAACGCGGGAGTTTTGTTTCAATCACCCACGGCAGACGTCAAGCAGACGCCAAAACAACAGTATCTGTGATAGGCGGGAGTCTGCTTCAAATTACCGATTGAAAACAAGCTAGTCACATACTTCAAACATCACATGTCTTATTCTATTCTAACAATATATCTGGTAGTATTTGCGACTTGCGGTGTATTAAGTTAATATGTCGGTTTGGTGAGTTAATATGTCGGTTTGGTGAGTTAATATGTCGGTTTGGTCAGTTAATATGTCGGTTTGGTGAGTTAATATGTCGGTTTGGTCAGTTAATATGTGGGTTTGGTCAGTTAATATGTCGGTTTGGTCAGTTAATATGTTGGTTTGGTCAGTTAATATGTCGGTTTGGTCGGTTGATATGTCGGTTTGGTCAGTTAATATGTCGGTTTGGTCAGTTAATAAGTTGGTTTGGTCAGTTAATATGTCGGTTTGGTCAGTTAATTATATCCCTTTAGCGAGATAACTATTTATTGCCGATTTCTTTCGTTTTCGTTTAAGATTCAAACGTTTTGTTTCTTGTATTTGTTGATTTTCCTGGAAATAAAATATCTTCAAATGCCAGGATTTTTTTTTTTCATTTAAGGATTTAGTATATTCTGACAAAATGGCACTCACGTATAACAGATTGCTATTTGTGAAAGATTATACACAGACAGCAAAATGTAAATGATTGCTTCTAGCTACTTGCGGGTTTGTTAAAACTTGAATAAATTATAAAATGTCATTTAGTTGCATGTTACGATCGAATCTTCTATATACAATTAGTAACGTATTTAACACATACAAAAACTGTCGGTTATGTATATAAGTGTAAGATTAGGTTTAGGATAGAGCTCAAGGTTCAGTTAATGGTTAGGGGAGGGTGTGGTTGGACGGTATATCTCATGGATGCTAATTTGAAACATCACGAGTTCGAATCCTGGGCTCCTTAGCTTGGGACAGAAACCTATCTAGAAAAGAAAACTCCAAAATAAAAAAAACAACTGCTGCCTTAAGGTAGCACTATGGAAATCTAAGGCTATTACATAAAACAGAAAACTACGTAGGACAATCCCCTCCAATATTAAAAACAAGAACGAAGAAGAAGCAACTCGCCGGGTCAGTGGCGTAGGCAGGGGGGGGGGGTTAGGGGGGTCATAACCCCTCCCCCCATAGACCCCTCGGTATATATATATATATATATATATATATATATATATATATATATATATATATATATATATATATATATATATATATATATATATATATATATATATATATATATATATATATATATATATATATATATATATATATAAGTATGAGGGAGGGTGCAAATCGAAAGTTTGGGGGGGGGGGTGCAAATCGAAAGTTTGAGGGGAGGGGGTGCAAATCGAAAGTTTGAGGGGGGGGGGGTGCAAATCGAAAGTTTGAGGGGGGGGGGGGTGGTGCAAATTGAAAGTTTGTCCCCGGGTAAAAATTGGAACCCCCCCCCCCCTTGAGACGATCCTGGCTACGCCACTGCGCCGGGTATCTGAACGTTAGTAGATAAAAAATAAAAAACCAGGAAAAATATAGGGATTTAAACCAATTGGATGTATGGATTCGCACAAAAGAAGCGGACCAAAGTCTAAACTTTCCGAGACATGATCGATATCTCTGGGAGATACCAAGGACCTACTCAAATTTCCAATGTTGACATAGTGGACAGTCTGATATAGGGGCAACATTTCCAATGTTGACATAGTAGACAATCTGATATAGGGGCAACATTTCCAATGTTGACCATCTGGGGAGAGCTGGTGTGGTTACCACGTACGAACACAGTATCCATTTATAGCAGACTGAGGTACTGGCAAGGGGCCACCGAATTCTCAATACTAACAGACTGAGGTAAGGCAATGAGCCACGGGATTCTCAATGCTAACAGACTGAGGTACTGGCAATGGACCGCCGAGTTATCAATGCTAAGAAATTGAGGTACTGGCAAAAGGGTAACAAAGTTTCCAATATTAACTGACTAAAATGACTTGAGAGGTTTGGAAGGTGTAGCTTTGTCATGCAACTACTGGCGTCTACGTCTTTGATACTTTTGAAATACCTTGTCACATAAAACACCAGCTTAAAGAAATTAGTTTCCTAAACTCTTAATAATTAGTTTAATCCCAACTAATTAATTTAGGAAATCTTGTCGGAGAATCGTATAAGATGAAGCAAGGGTTGCCGGGCTTACATGGGTGCAAACAAAGAGACGCGCTCAAAACTGAACCCCAGAGTCCATCGCCCACTAAGGTATGATCTCAAGAGTCCCCTAAGACCTGATGGGTACCTGATTCACTTTATGGAAAGTAAAGACTGCTGGGCATAGTGACCCATAGACCGTCAAGATCGAAAGGGAACTTTACTCCAGAATGGCAAGATACACCCCCACCTCACCGCTCTCTAAACCCACACCTCGAAAACCCTTTCTCTGACCCCCAGGATCCCACACCACACCCTTAATCTAATATCCTACGCCCTCATTACCATCCTTTAAACCCATGTCCCCACGCCCTTACCACCGTCTGTTGAACCCCATGATCCTAGCCCTAACCACCAACCTTTGAACCCCAGGATCCCACGCCCTCACCACCTTTAGAACCCCAGGATCCCACTCCCTTACCACCCTTAGAACCCCAGGATCCCACTCCCTCACCCCAATTTGAACCCCCAGGATCCCACTCCCTCACCACCCTTAGAACCCCAGGATCCCACGCCCTCACCCCAATTTGAACCCCCAGGATCCCACGCCCTCACCACCCTTTAAACCCCAGGGTCCCACGCCCTCACCACCCTTTAAACCCCAGGATCCCACGCCCTCACCACCCTTTAAACCCCATGATCCCACTCCCTTACCACCCTTAGAACCCCAGGATCCCACTCCCTCACCACCCTTTAAACCCCATGATCCCACTCCCTTACCACCCTTAGAACCCCAGGATCCCACTCCCTTACCACCCTTAGAACCCCAGGATCCCACTCCCTCACCACCTTTAGAACCCCAGGATCCCACTCCCTTACCACCCTTAGAACCCCAGGATCCCACTCCCTCACCCCAATTTGAACCCCCAGGATCCCACTCCCTCACCACCCTTAGAACCCCAGGATCCCACTCCCTTACCACCCTTAGAACCCCAGGATCCCACTCCCTCACCACCTTTAGAACCCCAGGATCCCACTCCCTTACCACCCTTAGAACCCCAGGATCCCACTCCCTCACCCCAATTTGAACCCCCAGGATCCCACTCCCTTACCACCCTTAGAACCCCAGGATCCCACTCCCTCACCCCAATTTGAACCCCCAGGATCCCACGCCCTCACCACCCTTAGAACCCCAGGATCCCACTCCCTCACCACCCTTAGAACCCCAGGATCCCACTCCCTTACCACCCTTAGAACCCCAGGATCCCACGCCCTCACCACCCTTAGAACCCCAGGATCCCACTCCCTCACCACCTTTAGAACCCCAGGATCCCACTCCCTTACCACCCTTAGAACCCCAGGATCCCACTCCCTCACCCCAATTTGAACCCCCATGATCCCACTCCCTTACCACCCTTAGAACCCCAGGATCCCACGCCCTCACCCCAATTTGAACCCCCAGGATCCCACTCCCTCACCACCCTTAGAACCCCAGGATCCCACGCCCTCACCACCCTTTAAACCCCATGATCCCACTCCCTTACCACCCTTTCAACCCCAGGATCCCACGCCCTCACCCCAATTTGAACCCCCAGGATCCCACGCCCTCACCACCCATTAAACCCCAGGATCCCACTCCCTCACCCCAATTTGAACCCCCAGGATCCCACTCCCTCACCACCCTTTCAACCCCAGGATCCCACTCCCTCACCCCAATTTGAACCCCCATGATCCCACTCCCTCACCACCCTTTCAACCCCAGGATCCCACTCCCTCACCCCAATTTGAACCCCCATGATCCCACTCCCTCACCACCCTTTCAACCCCAGGATCCCACTCCCTCACCCCAATTTGAACCCCCAGGATCCCACTCCCTCACCACCCTTTCAACCCAAGGATCCCACTCCCTCACCACCCATTAAACCCCAGGATCCCACTCCCTTACCACCCTTAGAACCACAGGATCCCACGCCCTTACCAACCTTTGAACCCCATGATCCCACGCCCTCACTACCCTTTGACCCCAGGATCCCACGCCCCTCACCACCCATCGAACCCCAGAATCCCACGCCCCGCCTCACGACCCCGCTTTACTTGTGCTGACATAATTAGAAACTGACGCGAGACGATCACTGAGAATCGAGCCTAGCTACGATTACATGGAATCGATACTACAATAGTAGGAATTCTACATCCAACCTAGCTACGATTTCACGGAATAAATACTGCGTTAGTATGATTTCAACATCTAACCTAGCTACGATTACATGGAATCGATGCTAACTACGTCAGTTGAAGATCTATAACTCCGCTAGACGAAATCAATACAAGAGCGTTTGATCGAGCCCATGTTTGCCTCCCTTGGCGTGACCATTGATGTGGAAATTATCTCCCTGTCCTTAACACAGCCCATTGCATTCCGACTCGGGGCTGTACAGAGTTAAGCCCCCTTCATTACACGATGTTTATTACAATGCACTCTGCGAATTACGTTTGGATGATTTAGAGATTTTAATGAAATGGTTGTCTTAATTGGATGGCTATTTTCAGCCACACGTGCGCTCGAGCGTTGGGTAAAGAAGAGGGCTGACCTGACCCCTCCCACATGAAAAGTTAGGATCTTGTCCAGATAAACCCCGCCATTAATCCAAAAAAAGAGAACGAGGAAAAAAGTTAAGACCCGCAGCTTATCTGGAGAAGATCCTAAAATAATATCACAACAAACAAAAAACATTGAGGGCGCTCCCCCCCCCCCTCCACTCACATACACACACACATACACACGCACGCACTCACTCACTCACGCATGCGCGCACACACTCACACATATAAATATAAATAAATACATATATAAATATGTATGTATATATATATATATATATATATATATATATATATATATATATATATATATATGTAAAATTCTATATATATTATATAATATATATATATATATATATATATATATATATATATATATATATATATATCAGTGGCGTAGCGAGGTCGGGTGTCACCCGGTGCGGCACTTAATGGTGTCACCCCCCCAGAGGCATAGCGACCCTTCCCGGAGACAAACTTTCAATTTTCGATTTGCACCCCTCCCCCCCCCCCCTCAAACTTTCGATTTGCAACCCTGCTCTAACTTTCAAAATTTGCACCTCTTAAAAGAATATTTGTCACTCGAATTAATGGTGTCACCCCCCCCCCCCCCCCCCCAGAGGCATAGCGACCCTTCCCGGAGACAAACTTTCAATTTTCGATTTGGAATTATCATTTTTCTCTATATATTTTGCTATTTTTTTGACTTGGTGTCACCCCCATACATGGTGTCACCCGGTGCGGTCCGCACCGCCCCCTGCCCCTCTCGTTACGCCTCTGATATATATATATATATATATATATATATATATATATATATATATATATATATATATATATATATATATTGTGTGAGAACTCTTTTGGGACTGACAACTTAAGAAAAAGTCTCATCCGACATAACTTGCGTTAATTTAAATTTTAAAACATGTTTAATTCCCCTTGAGCTGAATTAAAAGCATTTCCCTCCCCTGTCCATCCTTGTGATTCCCAACGCTGGACGATTAAGCAGAACTAGAGCTCTTCAGCGAATTGACTGTTCAACCGGAAGTTGGGTCGCCGAGTCCGTGTGCCTAAATTAATCCGAGACTAGACCTGCGCATGCACGGTCACACGTGTCAGAATGTCAGGGAAGATCGTCACGACATCATGTGTATGACAGGAGAAAGTATAAAAACAACAACAACAAAACAACAACAACAAAAAAACACAGCTAAATAGATATACTCAGTGATCATAATTTAAAAAAAATCATATTTTAAGAGAATCAAGTTTGATCATCTGTTTGATCACTTGTTCGATACGGTCTAGTTCTCTCCGCTTTAACTGTTGCATTTAGTTATGCTTCAATTAAAATTGAATGATTCTTATTTGTTTTAAACTATTGAGGTGTCATCAGAATAACAATTATTGATCAGTTGAAAATTTGGGTAAAATTGAATAAACAATCACATAAACATACATTGTGACCTAATATTATCTTGTAACTTGGCATTGAACTTAAATTTATACTTTACAATTGCCAAACAAAACAAGAAAGATAACTGTGGATTCCAAAGTTAAAAACGTATAACACAATAGGGCTGGTAAGTAGGTCACCAACCGGTTCTACGGCCTAATAAAACCTGCATGAGCCATATAACTGGTTGGTGACCTACTTACCAGCCCTATAGTCTAACAACAGAAACCAGTAATTAAAAACTTTCGGCCCGTTGGATCAAACTGACGAAACAAATACTAAAACCATATGGCGCAACGATTTATGTAATTCCATTTGAATACAGCCGGCCATTTATTTTACACTAGAGATTAAAAAGCTCACAAACGAAGTGTAATTATCTAATTATTCACAGATCCCCACACAAACGAAAAGACATTTTTTTTCTGGATTTAATGACGGATTTCTTTAACCCCGGCGGATATTAAACCCCTCATTATTTTCTATCAGGATAAATCTTACACTTTTTTCTGCAGTTTTTTTGTTCCCTAACAAGATTTGTATCGCACAATAAAATAATTTGATGAAAAAAATACAATATTAAAATGTAATAATAAAATATTGGGATTATTTATTTAAAAAAATGAAATGAGGAAAATATTGAAAATCTTAAAAAGAAAATCCAAGTTTTCTAAATAACAGATAATTTTATTATTCAAAAGATTTGCACAAATGATTTCTTTTAATTATTTCCTTAAAATGTTCAAGATAGCCATAAACAAACATTACTGAAAACAATCTTAGGTCATGACGGTCTATACTATTTACACAATATTAGGTCATAAGGGCCTATACCATTTAGACAATCTTAAGTCATAAGGGCCTATACTACTTACACAATCTATGTGTATGAAAACCAAGACACATCTCTTCTATGTGTCTATTAGGAAAATTTGAACAAAATTTCAATACCTGGCGATCTAATGCCGAAGATTTGCTTTTAATATTAAAAAAAAATCTTGAAATATTAGAAATAAAACAATGTCCTGCTACTTTAATACAGTGGAATATTGAACCTAATGAGCAAGATTGAACATCATCATATAACTTCAGACACGTAAATTACAGCGTCAGTTTACCTTGCCATGCACGGTTTAGTAATACAGTTATGTTTTAATCATCAGAGACTGATACAAATGTACAAAACAATTTAAACAAGTAATAATTTCTTTTCGGAACGGAGTGGTCTAGCGGTAGAGAGCTGGACTGCTAACCCGTAAGTCTCGAGTTCGAATCCGGGTTCAAGTAAGTAGACCGTCCCTGAGTCCACCCAACTCTGATGGGTACCTAACTGACGTTAGGGAAAGTAAAGACGGCTGGGCATAGTGCTGACCACACTATCTCTTCATATGCCGAGGTCACAGAAACAAGTGAACTCTACTTCACTTGCCCCATAGACCGTCAGGTTTGAAAGGGAAACTTTACTTTTACTTTATAATATTTTCTTTTGTTGCTTCACAGATCAAAAACAACGGTAAAACTCCATTTTAGCGTATTTTATTCGCCGCTTCACGTTTACCTCCGGTTGTGGTTATTTTATTATAAACACAATCAAAACACACAAAAATGTTAGGAAAACACTAGGATTAGAATCATTAGATGATAGATATAGATCGTCTTTTTTTTTAATGAATGTGTTTTTTAATTAGAAGAGGTAAAAATATTATAAATAAGCATTACAGTTTCACTTAAATATTGTATGATCGTCGGCGGGAGAAAAATCCCTACATGGTCAAGTAGAGTGATCGCTTGCATTATTGTAATGTATAGCAATTATTTTCTACTTTTTAGTTCAATCAGAAAACGTGGGTTTTTTAAAACTTTTTTAATGATTATTATTTTCACATCGTGTCTCACCCCCCCCCCCCCCCCCCCCACGGTAAAAGCTTTGAAGCGTTCAGATGTTATACATTTAATATTAATGGTGTTTATCTATAGTAGGTTGTTAATACAACTGGATGTAGCATTGTTTTCTCTAGAGTTTGAATC